CTTCAAATTATTAGATATCCAGAAAAGTCACAGAAGTAATATTCTTTGCATCATTATAGTCAACAAAAAATGTCTTAATAGTGTTTTATACATTAAATGTTTTACATGCATCTGTTTCCTATGGATGTGCCCTCCATCCACCTTATTTAAGACCATTTTAATAATTATAGATAGTAATTTGTGTTCCCATGATCACCTGTCTGTGTTTTCTTTAAAAAGGTTTGATATTCTGTATAATTTGGTAAAGGACAGTTTGCCAATACCAAGAACACACACTGCTTTCTCTTGTGGCTCAAATTCATCTGTCCAGAACAGTGGTTCTCAGCCTTTCTGATGCCACAACCCTTAAATACAGATCCTCATGTCATGGTGACCCCCAACCATAAAATGATTTTCGTTGCTACTTCATAACGGTGACTTTGCTACTGTTAATGAATCGTAATGTAAATATCTGTGTTTTCCGATGGTCTTAGGCTCTACAGCAGTGGTTCTCAATCTATGGGTCTGACCAACCACTAGCAGGATCGCCTAAGACCATCAGAAAACACAGATATTTACATTACGATTCATTAACAGTAGCAAAATGACAGTTATGAAGTAGCAAACGAAAATAATGTTATGGTTGAGGGTCACCACAACATGAGCTGTATTAAAGGGTCGAGGCATTAGAAAGGTTGAGACCCGTTGATCTATAATAATAAAAGTGTAATATGCTAATTAGACCAGATGACCTTCCAGATGAAGCCGGGCTTCGAGGGAAGCCCGGGTCCCAGGTGCCAGAGGGAAGGGGGGGGGGGGGGGGCGGACACGGACGACACGACACACACACCCCTACTCTTGCATGAATTTCGTGCACCGGGCCTCTAGTTTAATGATAAAAGGCAACTTCAAGGCCCCTTCAGTCTCCATCCTTGAGCTTGCTATGGCCTTGTAGATCTTTGCTTAACAGTATCCAAGAATGAGGTTTTATATAGTTTATATTAAGGATATTTGCTTGTTTAAATGAAGGAAACCATGATTGTGTACCTCCCAAATTGACCCCCAGGTATGCAGACTAGTTCTTAGACATCTTCAGGAATCACTTCGGAATATAGGAATTCGCTGCAATCACCGGAGAGATGTGTAAGACTGCACGCTGTGAGTAAGAGCCCAGTATTCTCACGAGCTGACTTCTAACACACTCCAGGGTCAGCGATCGATTGCCCAAGGGCCAAGTCTGGCCTGCCAAGAATTTGTGTAATTAAACTTTTACTGGAACACACCCACACCTCTTTGCTCAAGTACAGTCTGAGGCTGCTTTTCTGCTACAGCAGCAGAGCTGAGTCTGTGCCGCTTACCGAGGGGGCTACCTTCTGAGAAAATGCAATGTTAGGCCGCTCTGTCCTTGTGCAAACATCAGAAAGCAGACCTGCGGGACCTAGAAGGTCTAGCCCTACTACACACCTCGGCGAGACGGCCTAGCCTACTGTTCCCGGCTACAGGCCTGTGCAGCGTGTTACTGTACAAAACGACATGAGATTAATTCCAACACAAGAGAAAATGACGCATGGCTAAACAAGGGTGTATGAGGGCAGGTCACTGGTACTATTCTTGAAACTTGTCTATCACTTTGAAAGTACAACAAACTAAAAAGATTAGAAACAGAGTTCAAACAAGTTTCAATGTTAGCCTTTAAAACAGAGAACTTCAGGTACCTTTCACAGGCAAAGTCAACGCAATGTCCCAGGATAGATCTGCGAGACATTCCAACCCTGTGTAGGACGCCCGCTGCTGACCCAAGCCGCCTGAGGCCACACCCCACCGTGACTCCCTCTAACGCTGCAGCCTCAAGTACCAGCTTACAAACTTCACCCTTTGAATTCATCTTACTTTATGGAAAGCAAGCTCACTAATAATTAAAGGGATCAGAGGACTTGAAGAGAAAAGAAGCTGGGGCTGGGAGAGGAGGAGGAGGGAGAGGGGAGAAAGGAGGGGGAGAACTAACAGGAATAAAGGAGCCTGGTTAATCAGTAAACTAGACAACCGAGCTCTGGAGACCACCAGCACTAGGAAGGAAACTTACCGGACACGCTCCGTCCTTCTACAATATATGCACCTCCCCTACAGTTTTCATATACACACATTTCCAGGAGAGAGAGGAGCTTATTTTTATAACATGCAGACATTATGCTAACGGAGAAGGTGCCCAGAGGGCCACATACATCCGCGCTGTTAAATATAGAAACGAACTGTAAGGAGAATCATTATCTCCGGTTTCCAAGGAAACCAGGACACGCACTGCTCCCGAGCTGCAGGTCCCTCGGCGAAGGGCACACAGGCATTTAGACTCAGGGTCATCCCCAGCCGGGAGCAGATGTGGGAGGAGGAGCAGGCGAGCCGCCCGGATTGTTCTGTTCTGTTATCTCATCGAGTTCCCGGCCCCAACCAGGGCCAATGGATGTTTAATAGGGGAAATAGGGAAGACCTGATTAGGAGTAGCAATGTCCAAGAGAGAGAGAATCCACAAAGGGCCGGATAGCCCGAATGTGACTAACGCTGGGGTGGGTGGGACTGGGGGTGGGGGAGCGGGCAGGGAAGGCTGGCATTCCCACTTGCTCTGCTGGGGAAGAGGAGAGGAGGCTGGTGTGTGTCTGTCACACGGACTGCCATCTTCCCTGTGCCAGCAGAGGCACGGCACAGCCAAGATCAACTTCCCCCTCAACCAGCGCTCCCCAGCTGCCACCGTCTCTGGAATCCAATTCCTGTCCCACGTGTCCTGCCTTCCGGACTCGGGACGACTCACTATTTGTCTCTATCGCGATGAAAACAGAAGAACTACTTTCTGACAGCCTCAGAGATGCTGCCTCTGAATCATTTATTGGTTCGGCCGAACCCACTTATCGATTGCTTTCAATGCGACGGGCACGGTGCAGGCGGAGGAGGAGCGGTCCGAGACTCCACTTTAGGTCCCCGGGCTTCCACAGCCAGCAGCGCCGCTTAGGCAGCTGGAAAAGACGCATGCTCAAACAGTGCTGGGATGCTTCGGGTTTATCCTAACCCTACAGAGCGCATTCAGGGTGGGGCAAAAGTGGGTTTACAGTTGTCGGTATGAAAAAAGACACGCAGGTTGTTATGAAAACAGCGACACGGGCGTAAACTCTGTTCCGCATGCTCACCACGTGAACCTCCTTTTGCCCACCCCGTCTACAAAACAGGCCGTGCAGCCCCAGCTGGCCCCTGAGCGGGGCCCTGGGAGCCAGGAGGTGATGGATGATCTGATTCCTGGTCAGGCCCAGGCCTGGGTTCAGTCAGGCTCCATCACCAGGAGGGGGCGTGCAGGAGGCAGCCGATCACTGATTCTCTCTCATGATCTCTCTCATCATTGATGCTTCTCTCTCTCTCTCTCCCTCTCCCTCCCTCTCTGAACTCAGTCACAATATATATACATTTTTAAGCATCATCCAGATATAAATAGCAGTTTCCCGCTTAGTTCCACCCCATCCCCTGCCCACACCTTGCAGGAAGACCTCCAAGTCGCACCTCCGCCAAGCGCAGGGCCAGCTGCGCAGGAAGGAAAGCCCTCCCCCAGGCCAGCACACACCTCCTCCTCCTGATGCACAGCAGACGGCGTCCCAGGCTAAGCCTCTTAGCTTAATGGGCTGACACGGGCGAGCAAGCCGCCTGTTTTGCTCATCAACGCCTCCTGCTACTTCCCTCTCTCGCTGTTGCATCCACTGAAAACAGCTGCTTTTAAGAGGGCGAAGGGATGACTTGCCACAGGGGTTCCAACTGTTACGTAACATGTACAGTGTGTCTCGAGAAGGCAAGCTGTTCGAATACCCACAGTTACCAGAGAGCTCAGACACGCTTCTGAAAACTTCCTCCCGGCACACTGAGGGTGCCGGCCATCCACAGTCAGAGGCAAAGGGAAGCCTCTGATCTCCGCACAGCCGGGCCCTCTGTGACAACACAGACCCGCCTTTGGGTACCGTTCAGTGCAGAGGGGCAGTGCCGCCTCTCAGGGCTCCATGGAACTGGAAGTCCGTCCCAATTCTCTTAAAAGTCACCTCGGCCACTGCGTCTCGTATATTATTACTCTGACATGACTCCCATTTCTCACGAGGGGAAAGAAAGGCTTTGAGACGAGATGGCTTCTCTAGACAAGTCTGAATGCTGACACTTGGAAAAAGGCTTCTGCTGACAAGGTCCCGCTGCACAGGCCGCTCCCACCGAAGGCCAGTCCCTGCTCCCGGGGAAAAACACACCCCATTGTCTCAGGTGGGACGCCCAAGGCAAGCAGCACTCACAAGTCAACAACCCGAATCAGTTCCCCAGAGCCTCGGACCCAAGGACCCGCCTGCTCCCTCACTCATTGGAAATCCTCCGCCTTGGAAGCGCCTTACCCCGCAGCTCAGGAGCCTGACCCCCGGGCTGGAGGCCCTGGGCTTTCGGGATGGGTGTCCAGCCCTGCTCCCCTGCCTCTGGAGCATCCTCAGGGTGCATCTGTCTCAGACAACACTTTCTAGCGGCTCCCCTCCCCCCTGCCTCCTTGCAACCAGAGTGTCCGCCTGCTAATCCCCGGCCCCCCGGGCGCTGTCAGGGCATTTGAGGAAGTGGATTGAGGGCGCCCCGCAAGGGGCCGCGGTGACCCCGAGGCCGTGGCCCAGCTGCCCGCCCCGCTCCGGGCAGCCGCGGCTCCGATCCCTCCGACCCCGGGCCCAGGCGGAGCCCGCAGCCTCCGGCGCTGCCCTCCGGCCTCCCGGGACCGTCCGCCCGGGTCCCCGGTTCGGTCCCGCCCAGGGGGGAGGAGGTGTGGCCGCGGCCGCAGCGGGCAGCGGAAGGCGCAGGGGTGCCGGGCGGCGGGTGCAGGGGGTGCAGGGCTCACCGTCCCCGGGGAGTTGGGGGGGAAGGAGGCTGCCCCGGGCTGGCTTTGGGGACCCCGGGGCGGGGCGCGGCGGGCGTGCAGCGAGGCTGCGGGCGCCGGTCCGGGGCCGGGACGCGGGGCGCCGCGGGGAGCTCACCGATGCACAGCTGCACGGCGTAAGCGTAGTAGGACCAGCCGAGCAGGAGGCCGATGAACACCACGGGGATCCAGTACAGCACCCGCCGGCAGCGCCGCCGGACGCGGCCCGGGCCCGAGGGCGCCATCTTCCAGCCGCATCCACCTGCCCGGCGCTGCTGCCGCCCGCCGGCCTGGCTCCCCGGCGCCGCGGGCCCGGGGGCGGCGGGAGGCTGCGCTGCGGCCACTGCCGCCGCCGTGGCGCTAGCTCCCCATCCCGCAGCCCGGCCGGCGCCGCGGGCTCCCGGTGCGAGGGCCGAGCGGAGGGCGGAGAGCGGAGGGCGGAGGGCGAGCCCGGGCGCAGGGCGGAGGAGGCGGCGGGAGCCCGCGCCCCGCCCCGGGCCCGCCCACGGCCACGCCCCCAACCCAGACCCCGCCCTCCGCCTCCCAGGTCCCCCCCGGGCTGCCCATGGCCACGCCCCTCCCACAGACACCCCGCCATGGCCACGCCCCTCCCACAGACGCCCCGCCATGGCCACGCCTCCAAACCCACCTCAACCACGCCCCCCGGGCCCGCTCCTGACCACGCCCCGCCTACCACGCCCCGCCTACCAGGCCCCGCCCCGACCACACCCCCTCCGCGCTGCGCCCCGGGCGGCCCTGTGCGCTCCGGGGGGCCCCCCCGTGGCCCTGCGCCCCCGCGGGGACCTGGGACCCCGAACCCGGAGGCGGACCCGCGGGCGGTGCAGGCGCCCCGCTGGGGTCGGGCTGGAGGCGGGCGGCGTCCGCAGCTCGGGCCGCCGGGGAGCCGAGTGGACGGGAGGCGGCCGCGCAGACCCCGGGCCGGTGGGCGCAGAGTCGCCCGCCCGGTGCTTGCGCCCCTGGAACGCCTCTGGGCGCGGAGGCCGGGCCCCCCGCCCGGGACACTGTCCCCCACGGTGGCTCCCGAGGGCGGGCCGGGCAGCCGGGCGGTGCTCCCTCCGCCAGCCTGCGGGCTCCGGGCGGGAGCGCCCCGCGCCCCGGCGTGTGGGGGGCCGGGAAGACGCCCCGAGGCGGGGGAGGGCTGAGGGAGAAGCTGTTTGGGTTGAGAACCCTCCGGAGGTAGAACAGGTCACTCTGAGCCCCGGAGCTCCCCGTGAAGAGAAGCGGGGTGGGAGGAGCAGCCTCCCCGGGCCCTGGAGAGGCCGGTCCGGGCCTCTTCCCCCGCCTGTCCCGGGGCCCAGCTTAGGGGAGCTGGCTGCAGCACCCCCTCCCGGCCTGGGAGGGACCCCGAAGTAAGTCCAAAGCCAAGGGCGTATGATGGTGAAATGGGAAAAATGCATATGCTTCCGAGATTTTCTTTTCTTATTTATACTTTACTGATTTTTCACAGAGAGGAAGGGAGAGGGATAGAGAGTTAGAAACATCCATGAGAGAGAAACATGGACCAGCTAGCTGCCTCCTGCACACCCCCCACTGGGGATGTGCCCGCAACCAATGTACATGCCCTTGACCTGAATGGAACCTGGGACCTTTCAGTCCGCAGGCCGACGCTCTATCCACTGAGCCAAGCCGGTTTGGGCTGAGATTTCCTTTTTATCTTACTGTGAACAACTTGGTCAATGGAGTGGATCTGAATTATATGCACAATTACTCTGTACAATGCACACAGTTTTAATTAACCCCGGTGGGTGTATGTCTACTGACACCGCAGCGCCGCCCTATTGAATGAACTTCATCTGCAGAATGAAAAGATAAAGCAGGAGTCATAAAAAGCACCGGTTTGCATGAATTTGGTCAAAGAAATCTAAGCTCTGATGAGTGTGTGATTATCTTTCCAGGACTGGATTAAACAACAAGCTAATCTCCTCTCCTATATTAGACGCAAATCCCAAATCTCTGGCCCATCTAGTCACACAGGCATAGGAAATGTCAGTCACGTCTCCGTGGGACTTGAGATCATTGAAATGAAACAGCTTTCGGTCCCGGGAGCCGCTTTGTTTTCTTGCAGCGCCATTTACCCTCTGCTGGTTACACGCCTCAGGGCAGATGAGCGTAACACATAACGTCCCCGAAAATCTTAACTTTTCCATGGATGTTAGCCTATGTTCCCAGCCAGGGAAAACTGAAAGCAGGAGATCAGTGTCCTGGTAGGCCCAAATGTCCTGGGAGAGATGAGCGGATCCGTGACCGAGGTCCCTGCAGACTGGTACGGAAGGAGAAGGAGGGGACCCGGTTCCCAGAGGGTGAGACGGTGCAAACTGTGCCTCTTTCTCCTGCAGAGGCTACGGCTCCCTTGAGGTCAGAAATGCAGGAGCATTCTATTCAGTTTTCACATTTTTATTTTTATTTTTGGAAGAATATGCCGCTGTAACATCTGTGGAGGAGGCTACATTTTTATTCGTTATCTAAAATGTGACTTAGCCAAAACCAGTTTGGCTCAGCGGATAGAGCGTCAGCCTGTGGACTGAAAGGTCCCGGGTTCGATTCCGGTTAAGGGCATGTACCTTGGTTGCGGGCACGTCCCCAGTGGGGGGTGTGCAAGAGGCAGCTGATAGATGATTCTCTCTCATCGATATTTCTAGCTCTCTATCTCTCTCCCTTCCTCTCTGTAAAAAAAAAAAAAAAATCAATGAAATATATTTAAAAACATAGATAAAATGTGACTTAATTTTCATACTTATCCTGTATAATAAAAGGCTAATATACAAATCAACCAAATGGCAGAAGGGCCAGTTGCTATGATGCGCACTGACCACCAGGGGGCAGACGCTCAACACAGGAGCTGCCCACTGGTGGTCAGTGCGCACCCACAGCGGGAGTGCCGCTCAGCCAGAAGCCAGGCTCACTGCTGGCGAGCTCAGCAGTGGTGGCAGGAGCCTCTCCCGCCTGCGGTAGCGCTAAGGATGTCTGCCAGCGATGGGACATCCCTCCAGGGCTCCTGGACTGTGAGAGGGTGCAGGCTGGGCTGAGGAACACCCCCACGCACAAGTGCACGAATCTCGTGCACCGGGCCTCTAATTCTAAACATGTGTGGAATAATTGCAGCCTATCCTTGAGCATGTTAAGAGTGCTCTCGTTACTGAGTTCTCCAAGGGTGCCACGCTCATCTTTTAAAAAAGGTTGAGCTCAGGCAGAATTGTCTCGAACGCCGCGTGAGGCCAGGATTCCTCTCTGCACAGTCACTCGTTAGGCAGGAGCGTGCGTGCACACGTCCTCTCTCTCAAGAGCAGGCTTCCGGGAGAGTGGAACAGTGACTTTAGTTTTTAGGAATTGGGGGTCATAGTCAATGAAGAAGAAACGTCGCTAGAGATGTTTTAGAGAGAAGTACAGAAGGTTAACTCGCTGAACTTAGATATTCAATTAGTTACAACACATTGTGACTTCCATGCTATCATTTTGATAAAACTGCTACAGCCGGTTTTTGAACAAGAGTCAGCCAGCAGCAAGGAGAGAAAGGGCAACACTAAGAAGAGGGAGGGGATGGCCGGGCAGGGGCAGGGGGAGGGGAGTATCGGAGAAGAGGAGAAAGGCCCTCTCCCCTGGCCCACCCCTTCCATAAGGACCGAAATTCCATCCTTCAGGCCCCTCCCTGGATGCTCCGCCCACTCAAGGATTTGTGGGAGACATGAACCCCTGAAAATGAAAAGAAAGACCCTTATGGTCGGTCCCTGCTCCCAGGAAGGAAACTTGACCTTGTTCTCCCTCTTAGCCAAGGTCAACTTTGAACCAGCCCCCCAAACCTCAAACTTCAGCCCCCAAACCTCAAACCCGTCTTGCTGTCTCGGTTAATGCTCCACAGGTCCCTCCTGCCCCCAGATCCAGGTTACGTTTTCCACTCACTCCCTTCCACAGTCTGAATCAGAAATAGCCTGGCAGTCAGGCCGACGAACACAGCCTCTGGAGGGAGCATAGGCTTCCATTCCGGCCGCCTACACCCATCCACCAGAACCGTTATTCGCTCCCCTGTTTGAGAGTGACACTTCCTTCTGAACGTGTTCTCGGAGGGACACGTCGCACCTTGGAAGCACAAGGTCACTTGTATTCCTCTCAGGTACGTGATACATGGTTCTGACTTCACTCTCAGGGTATGGTGTGCAACCCGTGGTTCGGCAAACTCATTTCGTCCACAGAGCCAAATATTATAGCAACAGGACAACGACTGACACTTCCTTGGAGAGTCACATTTTGTAACCTTAAACTTCTTCTAACGCCACTTCTTTAACACAGACTCGCCCAGGCCGTGGTATTTTGTGGAAGAGCCACACTCAAGGGGCCAAAGAGCCGCCTGTGGCTCGCGAGCCGCAGTTTGCCGACCAAAGGTGTGTGACAGATGCTGCCTTCCGAGTTTCACCAGGCATGGAGCCAGTGAAGCTGAGGTCTGGACCTGCTCTTTTGCTCATAGCTCCCCCATTCGTACTGGAGCAGGTCGGTGAGAATATGGAGAGATCCCCTTCTACTGTTTTCTTAAACGAAACCCACCACTCTTTTTTTGGGGGGGGGGAGGGAGGGGAGCGGAAATCCCTTTGGAAGTCAGCAGTCCGCATCCATGATCCCAGAGATAATTGCGCTTTTACAATACTGGCCAACACAGTCTCTGTGGGAGAATAAGAATATGCCCAGCCAAAACCAGTTTGATTCAGTGGATAGAGCGTCGGCCTGCAGACTGAAGAGTCCCAGGTTCGATTCCGGTCAAGGGCATGTACCTTGGTTGCGGGCACGTCCCCAGTAGGGGATGTGCAGAAGGCAGCTGATCGACGATTCTCTCTCATTGATGTTTCTAACTCTCTGTCCCTCTCTCTTCCTCTCTGTAAAAACAAAAAACAAACAAACAAACAAAACATATATATATATATATATATAAATATATATATATATATATCCCCAAACCGCATGCTTTCGGCCACAGGTAAATAAAAGCCATCTTAGAAAGGGCCTGGGTTAGGGAACGTGGGGATGGCCCAGGGCTGTGATACCTGTGCCTCCCAGAGATGCACAGTTCGCAATGAACCGAGGGCGGAATGGAATACCATGCAAGATCATTTGAAAACTCTAAGGCTGTATGGTTCATTGGCTCAAAACATTGGAACAATTGCTAGAATTGGAAAAACCAAGCTCTGGCCCAACCTTGCTTTCCGAGCACTCTGGATTTTCTCTGTTGCAGTAGGAACGCTTGCCGCCACTAGATGGCAGGCGCACGCCAAGCAGGCCAGCCCGCCTGCGGTGTTTCCAGAGACTTCAATAGCATCCACCATTAGCTCACCAAGCCAATTAATTATAAATTAGGAATTATAACTTCATGACAAATGACGTGTAATTATGCCTAATTATAATTGCATTATAATTGTACAATTCTATGTTATAATCCAGGAGCTAGTGATTAATCACTAAAAGCCATATTCAGAAAATGGAAAAGGATTAAGAGAACATTTTTTTTTTTTCTTTCTGTATGGCAAATCACTCTGATTCTGCTTCCCCTTCTTTACAGCTTGCACGACAGTTACTCTCTTTAGAAATAAAATTGGGACTTGGTACTTCAGTGAATGCTACTCAGAGTCCTTCCCCCATGCCACACGGGGAGAAGGCAGTGTCTATAGAACCACCACTGGTGGGATCTTTGAGGGGTGACACAATGGCACGAGTTCGGCCAGACTATGGGAGGTGGCCGTTGTGGACCTGAGAGGTCAGTGGCCGGCCATCAGAGAGTGGCCGAGGGCAGCAGAATCCTGCAGGGTGATGGCTAGCGTCCAGCGTTGTCAAGGCCAGCGTTGGCGTCCTAGGCAGGCTGTTCTAGATGCAATGTCT